TCTGTGTGTGTGTCGTTTCTTTTTTTAGGTTTTTACTATTGCAATAAAGTGCCTCTTCTGCACAGCATTAGCATTAGCTAAGACGTAGCTCATTGACCATCTGATTTAAATGATGACGTTAATGAAAACAGAATTTTAAAAAAGAGTTCTTTTGACAGAAACTATTATTACCATTGTAAATATTTGTAAAGCATTTTTTTTGAGTCCTTAAAAAGAGTATTTCATTCGGACGTGTGAAACCGAATAAATATGAAAATTGAAACAAACACTCATCAAATGGTTTGATACCTTTGTGTATTATTGAAACTGAAAGTGAATGTGAAGGTGACGTATTGCAGTTCAATCTTCCACATCTGCTTAAAGGGGTCATAGGATGCTACATGCACTTTTACAAGTTGTTTGAACTGAAATGTGTGTTGGCAGTGTGTGTACACAACCACCCAATAATGATAAAAATCCACCATGTGTTTTTTTTTTAAAATCTACTAAAATCTTTACCCCTTTCTCAAATCAAGCCGATCTCAGATGCCTGTCTGTGTGATGCAATAAAACCAAGCCACGCCCACGATAGTTTGATTGACAGTAGCGTTTCAGCACAGACTGAGCTGATGCACGCTGCAATAGAAGACTTTAGCTCGCGTTTCGGGACAGTTGACAGAATTGTCAATAGCCTGATCAGTCATTGTTGCATCATCACAAAAATGTATTATTTTCACGTCTTTTTAAGCTTTGGTACTCGCGCTCTCCAGAGGCGCGTGCGCTCACAGTCACATTCAAAGCGCGTACTGCGAGTACCAAATTGAGAAAGTAGGCTACTGTCGGATTTGTCTTAAGTTAATGAGTATCAGTATTGGATCCGTGAAATAGGTCTTGTGACAGCAGCCTAATAAAGCTGTGCCGTCTTTTATTAATGTTAATCAAACAACAAAAGACAGAGAAAATCCCTTACTGCTCTTGACTAAATAATGTTTTGTTGAATAACTTTTAATGTTAATTTACAGTTTATTCAATTTCTGTAGCCTATTTAAAACACGTTCATAATTTAGAAAATGTAGTTAATACTTGCATCATTAATTATTTATTTTATCCACCCGCGACCCACCCACAAATAATCAGAATGCATTTTTTTTATTACCCGACCCACTCGATCCGCGGATTATCCGCAGCGCCCGCGGATATAACCGCCATCTGCGCATCACTAGTATGCCCCCGATCTACCTAAATGCGTCTATGTTCGCGTGAATCATTTGTGATCCAGCTTCACCTCAAGTGGGTATAAGGTTCTTTAATGAATCTTTGCAAATCACCTTTCCTAATAATGTGCTAATTAGCAAGTTTCACAATGAATGCCAACTAAACAGTCCCTCAGAGAGGGGCGGGGTCAGCAGAGCTCATTAACATTTAAAGGAAAATGCTACAAAACGGCTTGCTCTGAAAAGAGCTGTTTTTGACAGGGTAAAAAAGGTGTTTTTTTACACTACCATTGAGAAATTTTAACCAAACTATGTTACAGACTTTTCATTAAGACCCTCAAGAATCATATCAACTTGTGGAAAATGGGCATCCGATGACCTCTTTAAGTATGATTAAATCAATCCTGTGGTAATATTCCGTGTGATTAATGTGTTTTAGGGTCACTAGGTGGCAGTAGACACACATCAGAACATTACAGTTATAATAACACAGCAATCAATACGACTCGCAACACGCATTTCTGACTTACTGACACAGAAACACTGTGAATGTGTGAGCATTGATTAACTGAAGCAGGATGTGATTGGATGAAGTTTTCACAACTGTCAATCACGTCCCTCATGTGACCTATGACTGATGTGTTGACCTCTTCCACAGACCTCATTCTATTTTCTCTGTACTGATGGCTGTCTTCTTACATTTTATTTATTTGAATTATTTTTGTTAAACAGTGAACCAGTTTCAGATGCATAAGTACAGTGAGTTTTCTGTAAGGTTTCTCTTTTGTGAAGAATTTCCCTGTGCAGGGGTCAGAGAAACCGATTTCGGGGTTTGCAGTAAAGCCAGGTAGTGATTGTACTGTACAGTGCTTGTTTTTTAATAACACAAAAATATGAGCACATGCCATTTATTAGATAAATAAAGAATA